ATTATTATTTCTATTATTATCACTATTATTATTACTATTATTCTTACTATTATTATTATTACTATTATTATTATTACTATTATTGTTACTATTATTATTATTACTATGTTATTACTATTACTATTGTTACTATTACTATTACTGTTATTATTATTACTATTATTATTATTGTTATTATTACCATTATCGTCACCGAATGTAAAAATGACGGACAAAATATACAAGTTAAGTGATAATTAGATTTTTTACACCGATCTTTTGGTTCCATTTTCTTTAAAAATCAACTAAAAGCATTCAAGTTCTCTAATAGAGCTAAACTGAAGAAATACGAAGTTAACTGATTACCTTGTTATAAGCGCCTTCCATCAGCGATTGTTCAAGCTTTACCGGTGTCCAAATGTATGGATTGTTTTGCTGGACATCCTGATCGATTTGTTCAAGGAACTAGAAAATATTTTTTAAAATATTCATCCTGGTAGAAAAACACGTACGCAACACGTATCATTAACGTCAATGCGGTATCGCCGTTACCATTATCATTATCGGTGTTGCCGTTATTGTTATTAACAGCAGAAAAGATGGTAATAAAAAAGAAGTGTCGCTATTATGTTTATCGTTATTATCATTATCGCTGGCATAAACGACAAGCATGCAAGAAAAAGAATTCTTTGTGGCAGCATACTGAAAAGAGTGCGGGAAAAAAAACATACCATGTGGAACTGAGCATGTTGTTTGGTGGCCAACAAATACATCAGATTCAAACCAATCATCAGCCATTTATTCGGCCATTCTTTGTTCAAGCTGAAATTATACTTTCATTGGATCGGTGCCTGAAGAAGGTCTTTTTTTTTAATCTTACGAGTTAAAAACAATTGGAGGCAAAAAAATTAAGAGTGAGTTACAAAAATAGTAGTACGAAACTGGGCACCCCAATCAAGCCTCATCAGCTCGGTGGTATAAATGGATCTCGCCAATTTCAACGTATCTTTTTAGGAGGAAAAACGGCGGGGTAGGGAGAGATAAGAGGTATCACATTACCTGTAGGACTGGTAGAAACTGATAAGGACACTGATAGCTTCATGGAAAGCTTCCAGATCAGAATTGAGTATCGCACATAAAACTTCAATTTCATATACGTCTCCTGGAACAAATTTCACCAAAAATGTGACGCTACTGCTGGCAGCAGTTATACAGCTGCGATTTGTAGCGTGGTTCCTGGCAACAAAAACACAGCTGGTAACATTTCAAGATGCGCTGACCAGTGCTGCACTGTGCCAGTCAGTCTGCTGGCGATCCTAACGTTCGTTTCATATTCTGGGAAAGTTGGGGACTCAATGATTTTTCCGACGGGAACCATCCGACAAGGTTTCAGAACTTTTGAGATGTTCTTGAAGCTTGTTAATTCGTTCTGAACGTCACGCTTCTAGACCACCATACGGCGCTCTGCGGGCCGAATGTTATACAGAATATGATCAGAAAAATATGAAGAGCAATCAAAAAATTAATAGCAGGATCATCGAAAGGGCTGGCACAACAGCTACGGGGAGTACTCCAGTAACATCAACAACATGAGATACCCACACTGATTTTCATGGTGGTTTTGATATTTCTAGTAAAATAAAGAAATGTAATCAAATTAAATTTTCAAGAATATGTAAGCTTACGGTGTATGGTCAAAAGCGCTTCATGGCTAAGACCCCGAAGTGCATCAGCATTGTTCATTAGATCCTGAAAAAAAAATGTGGCTAGCACGCGCAAGAAGCGCAAAGAATTCCACCACATGGACAGTAACCACAGGTATTGGACTACACACCTTCAGCTGCTTCAGTGCAGTGCCGATAGCGCCCAGATCCTTCGATTGCTTGTTCCATTCGGCCATCAACCTGCGGTGCTCAGCCTCCATCTGTGATGATTGTTCGTTTGTTTCATCAGATTCATTTCTGGTACATTTGCGTTTTTCCCCCTCCCTAATCACAGTGCTCGGAATCAAGGATGCCCACATTCAGCCAAGAATTCCAGTAAAATTCCCCGTCATTTTGCATGAAGAGATTCTAAGCTAGTTTTCAGAGTCTTTCAACTCCCTCGGCTAAATTCGGTGATAGTTTTTTCCCATCAAAAGGGATTTTAAGCTAGTTTTCGAAGTACAGACTAGAAAAATTGTACTAGAGTGCTGCCTAATTTTGGTAGCCATTGACGAGAAAACCACATTCCTTTAAAATACCCCTCCCTCTCTGTTATCATTTTTGCTTCCAAGTCATTGAGGTACCTCATCGTGACCTACGAGTGGCAGTGTTCCAGTGGATCTAACACACGCATCAACGACAAACGGCTAAAGCCTTGCAAATTGCCCTTGTTTTGAAATAACCATTGCTGTGGTAGTGCCCATTCAAAAGGTTTGGTCAGTCAGAATGGACAACGGGCTGACCACTAAGTGATTAAGCACTGGTCAAAACTGGAAAACTAGGCTATGAACTGAAGCTGATCAGAAAATCAAAGTAAGTTTTATTTTTGCCTGCTGACCAAACAAAATGTCATTTTGTCTAAGTTAATGTGCAGATTTGGTGTATTCCCAACCATCTGCGGAGGATTTTGACGTGACAAAAGTTAGCCCCCTTTTTTCACTTAAAATTCATCTTCTCCCGACAAGTTTGAGGTTTTCGAAGTGTGTGTATGGCGGTAGGGGGAGGCAGTATAAGAAGCATACTTTGGCACTTTTCAGGATCATTGCGATTTCTGA